CTTTGCATCCTACTCCATGTGAGTAAATAAGAATTTTTAAAAATAATGCTATCATCAACAACAGCAATGAAAACTCATTCTGGAGTGTTTACTCTATGCCAAGCTCCAATCCAAACCTTACATGCGACATCTCATTTAATTCACATAGCAACTCTGTGAACTAGATGTTGACATCCATCCCACACTCTAGATGAAGAAACTACGGTTTGGAAAGGTGAAGTAATTGTCTCAACTTCACCACCAGTTTGACTTGAACCCAAGACTGTCTGATGTCTGGGCCAAAGTTCTTTTCCAAAATGTGATGACGCCAGCCAAAACCCGTATCTTCCTTTGAAGGGCTCTCCAAATTCTAGACGGTTTGTGGTACAAGATCAAAACCACTCTAACTGCCTCACAGAGAGCCTATGTTAGCTCTGTGCAGGTTGTAAGGACTCTCTGAAGCTCTTGAAGGTATCTGTAGAAGTTTTTAAGTAGTAAACGTTTCCAGCAGAAGGAAACTGTTTTAGCAGAGAAGGAACTGACTTCACATCCCAGTTCTGTCTCTCAGTAACTGGGTGAGCTCACGAGATTTGCTCTACTTGTCTGAGTCTGAATAAAGCATGGATAAGACTAACTTTCGGAACCGGTCTTTGTGAATTTGCCAACACAGTCCTATACATTAACTGTTACCATTCCCCAAAATTGTTCTGTTGAAAGGTAATTGGTCAAATCACCTTCTAAACAGAGTAAAAATAAATTAATCTGATTTCTTCCATAGTGAGCATCCAAAGTCTAGAAATGAGATGAAACAACTTGGAAAATATACGGCAATCTATGTATTTGTGCATATACTGAGTGGCAGTACCTCTCTGAACACCTCTTGCCTACTTTATATCTTCTCTTCCTCTCTCTCTCATACATGCTCACACACGTGAATTGAATCCTCAGGCAACGTTATCTCACTCATCCTCAAACATGTGCCTAACACTTGTTTAGATAATAGAAATCTATTCTCCAGGCAGTTAATTTGAGCAATGAAGAACATGAGGATTTTATGGAGATAAGGCACCAGAGAGAATCTAAGATGCTGGGAGCTCCTTTTGAGTGATATTGAATTTTTGTGATTAAAAAAGTAGAAGACAGCAGACAAGGTCTCTCTGTCTTCACTATTTGGTTGGCTCCAAGACAGGTGGAGCCCTGATTCTTGTAACATTGAATTTCACATTGCTTTTTATGAGCAAAGGGTCCATTTCTACACTGCACCTCTGAATTTAAAAGAGGAAATTTCAACCTCAGAATAATGTTTTTTGCTGAATAAAATGTATGCCAAACTAAGCTCTGACTCTGGGTTTTCTGAGTCCCAGTCTCCAAAGTTTTCTCAGGTTTCCAGTGCTGGGCCCAGCTCACTGGCTCCCGCCATGTCCTCCTAGTCTACAGTTAGGTGGAAAAGGCTGAGAAGTAGGAGCACCACCTCTCATGTGCACTCAGTGGACCTGGGGACGTCCCAAAGATCAGAGAATGGCTTCAGCTTCATTTTATCTAGGTATGGCTGGCTCCCCTATCAGCTGTCCTCCAGGACAGGCACCAGTGTGTTTTCCTAGGCATTATGGGAAAAAAAATTCTAGCAAGAAAACGGGGAAAAATATCATACAAAAACAGTATTAAGTGCTGGCCTCCCTTCCTTGGCTCCATAAAAGACCATTTTGTAAGGTGGGGGAAAGTTATGCTTTGCTTTCTAACTAAACAATAAAGTACATGCAGTTTAACCTAAACTGCCTACCCAGTTCCCTCAATTTTAGGACCATGATCCAACTTCTCACCTTCCCCCTTAAATAGATGAACTGAAGCTTTTTGGGCCACACACTTTAAAACGAGATTCCATCACCAGCTAACAAACCAGTTATTCTTGGATCGGGACTGGTTCTGGCAAGATGCTCGGGTCTATGCAGAGGATGATAAATGAGAATAAAATTATTCAGCTCTGCTGACCGTGGCCACTGCTCCTACTGTCATCCTCAGAACCTGCACAGAAATGAGCTCACTCCAACCTTTGAAACAATTCACAGCTTAAAAGTTTAAATCAGGTAAGTTGATTTTTGTGGGGTTTTTCAAGCTTTTACTCTGTAATTATATACAGGACTGTGTGCCACCTATTTCCTCCCAACTGTAACATTTTACATCTTTTTTAAGCATATGTTGACATTAGCTTTTTCTTTCTTTCTTTCATTCTTTTAGTACATGTTATGAAATAAGATACGAGCTTATACTCAGCCTTAGGTATCTTTCTGCCAAAAGGCTGGACCAACACAAACTAAATATGACTATTTTCTTTATTCAAAGTACAGTTGAGACTACTACATACCCTCTTAATGTACATACATAAAACCAGCTCACCACTAACGCTCCCTGCAGGTCAACTGAAATCATAACGAGATTTTCCTTTCATTTAATGCGATTAACAAATGTCAATGAACCGAACTCCTGAAAGACTCAAAAGAAAAAATAAAATAACCCAAGGAACACCGAACGGTAAAATAATTTGGACGTTCTTTATATTTTCTCCTTACTTTCACACGTCTTTAACTCAACAAATAGGCTATTTCTTACGGTTATAGATAGGCATGTATTCTAGAGGCAGAAAAACACGAGATAGTTTCAGCTCCACTATTTACTCAAATGCAACCTTTGCAAGCTACCTAGCCCTCTAAGCCTCAGTTTTCTCATCTGTAAAATAAAAATAAAAGCCCTCAAAGGATTTTTGCGAAGATGAAATGAACTAATGCAGGCTTAGATAAGGCTCTACAAGTAAAAATAAAATAAAATAAAAATAGTAAACATGAATGTTTACCATTGCTAATATTATCAATCTGCTAAATAGGTCTACCTTCCAGCCTAGGTACAAAAAATGCCAAGTAGCTTCCTGCCTGTCTAGAGTTCTTTGAAATCCACGAACTGCAGTGAGTTTGTGGAAATGTACAAGAGTGTTATACAAAGAAATAAATGGTTATCTATCTATTCTTACTCAATTTTACCAAGGCATTATAAATGTTTGGGAAGCAGTAATGACCGTGACAACTTGGGCCCCATAATTCTAAACCCCTGCAAAGGTCATGATAACATATCACTGAGCCTTTCAGCCAGTGAAGCTCTGTAACGGGTGAAGCCAATAGCCAAAGTCCTGATATTACATATTTAGAAAGGATTTCGGACAGCACTCACCCAAAACAGATACCTACAATTGTTACTTAAATGTTAAAGACATAAATGAACCTACTGCCCTTCTAAACTTAATCGACATTTTTCTGAAATAAATATCATTCCCACTTGAATTCCAACTGATGCATCCTTTCAGATTTACTCTTTACCTTCGGAACTGCAGGACTCGAGCATCTATCTTATCACTAAGTCTCCACTTTCCTAGAAACGTACTATTTTTAGCTGGAGTAGGAGTACTCAAAAGGCGGAATGCTGTGGGGAGAATTTCTCGTAATGTTATTTGGGAACAACTTACGAAACTCAAACTACATACGTGAACTTTATAAGTAGTAATATTGCTGAAGAGAAAAAACATTTTTATATGTGAAGCTCTCAGAACATTTACATATTACTTGGTCAGGGTAATTTCTTCTGAAATCTTAACAGATTAAGATAAAAAATTCACTCACATTCTACAGATAAGAAAACTTAAAAAGGAAGATTAAACACACAGACACTGCATTTGTGAATCTACAACGGAGTCGAAATTTAAACTCAAAGCTTCTTTTCAACCAATTATTTAGTAAAAGATCATTAACGAACACAGTAGCCCATTAGGTGCAATCGCAATACACCCTCTCACAGCTCTGTTTTATTAGGCAGCAATATTTATTGTGTCAGCAAACGCAGTGCATTTTTACTTGTTTCTGCTGATTTCATTAGCATTCTGAACCTTAGTCTTCTGAACCTGATAATCGTATGATACAGCCATTTACCTTCACCCATTTATCACTTCAAAACATTGACTCAACTCTTGTCATGAAAAAGTTTAGGTAGTGTGAACCCAGATGGCTTGGCTTTTGCCTAAACAGAGATGAATCCCTTCTCCAGTTCCACACAGTGTGCTGACCTACTAACAAGTAGTCTTCTATCATTTTTGTGCTTTGCATGTGACTGCCTTAATGTATTTCCAACAGGGTTTTGTAATGCGTAGTTTCTAAACAAATTTTGCTAAAAGTGATTGGCATGTAAAACACTCTTAAGCAAAAATGTTTCTCTTGTAGGTCTATATTTCATTTCAGAAATTCTTATTCACATTACTTAATCTCCCCCAAGTGGTTACTTATTAGACTTATCATTAACTATTAAACTAAAATAAAGGGACACAGATTAGTTTTTTAGTCTGCTAACCACTGATAGTGTTAACTAAGCAGCTGACAGCTAAGGGTCATTCTCTATGAAGGATGGAATTGTCCTTTCTGACTCATGCTTTCAAATTGGAAATGAAGACTGTGCTTGAGAGTTTAGGGTATAACAGGCAAAGAAACCCAAGAAATAAATCCAGAATTACATCCTGTCCTCATGTTTGTTTTTTGTGGCTCCTTCCCTTTGTTGCATACCTTATTCCTGAACTTCATACTTAAATCTTATCTCATCATTTTCCTGCGGAGCACAGATGACAGAACCAACGCAGAAAGTTTGGTGGTTTCGAGGATGTGGTTGTAGTAATCATTACTGGAAACAGACATTACAAACTGTAATTTTCAAGGAGATGTCATACAATGCCTATCTGAAATTTACTTCTAAGGATATAAATTTATAAGGATGATGTCAAAAATAGGAATTTCCAGTTGGATGACATGGAAATTGCCAAAGTCCATAAAACTCAGAAATTAACTGGACTCAACTCACAAAGTATGTACAGTTATGTGTAGTTTTGTAATGACTAAAGACAATTTGTGAGATCTGGTTATATTATCACATTTAATGGATTCACCTTATCAGAGAGAGCAATTGAGTTCATATTGCCTGATCTCCACACTTACCAAGCAGATACACATTATGCAAGGGTTGTCCGTGATAAATGGAATCTGGAGGACTTCTCCTTCATTTTCACATTTTGCAACAGAACCTGAAATTCAGGGGGGAAAAAAAATGTTTCATTTAAAGTTAGCTTAGTACCATGATTTCAACATTTAAATTTTTACACGAATCCTTTTTGAAACCTCTACCTGAACTTCAGAAATTCTTAATATGGTTTAAATTATTAAATTCACCAAAGAAAATCCCCTGCCCCAAAACTCCAATTTCAATAATTTTATTTAAACAGGGTTAAAAAAGAAAAGACTATGATATACTGATAGATTATCTGTTCTCAGATGGTTTAAGCACAATTCCAAGTATTTCACTGGATTTTTAATAACACGCCTCCTTTATGAAGACACACAGCCCCATATGAAAAAATAAAATAAAAAAGCTTAAATTGGACATTAGGGCAGATTTTAAATTGACCAAAAATCAGAACTGTGTCAATGAACAGGCCTTCCTATGGACCTGTCTTGCATTGTCTTAGGTTGAAATCACTTTGTGAAACGCAACCCTCTTTCCCCCTCTCTGAGAAATTGACTCTATATTTTCTTTTCTGCACCAGGTGTCAGTAAAGTATGTCCTTCAGAACAGCAGCTGAGGTCTTCACCTGCCTGAAAATATATAATTATTATATCTGGCTATTAGCGCCCTTTTTAAATGATAGTTTCTTTACATTCATAATGGAACCCCATAGATGAGAGAGGAGGATGTGCAGAAAACTGCACAATTTTTTTCCCTGAGTTCTACAGAGGGAGAGAAAGATTAAAATAAAAGTTGAGGAAAATACTCAAAATAAATAATTTTTCAAATTCACATGGAAGAATGTCTATTATTACTACATTGAAAGCAACAGCCTCTCAGCCGACAACCTCTTCACCGACTCCCAGTCTTCCCGGTCCTCCCAGCCCTTCCGGGGCTGCACTTCATCCCCCATCGACCAAGCACAGGGCAAGCACCAAGGTAAGCCCTCCCCACCCCCCCATTCCCCGGGCCAGCCAGCACCATCTCTCCGAGGTACCAAACCGGCGTCCCGGAGGGACGGTCCCTCCCGCCCCCTCCCCTACCTGTCAAAAAGGAGGAAGCCAGAGACATGGGGACCCCCGAGCAATTGAGCAGCAGCAAGACGCAGCAGGTAATCCCAGGCGAGCGCCGGCAGGGACGCTCAGCCAGAGCGCCGACGCCGGAGAACCAGAGCATCGTCACCTGGAGGGAATCCCGGGCGACTGCAGGTCCCGCGCCGCCGCCTCTGCTCCGCTGCCGCCGCTCGCAGTCAAAAAGGGCTCTCAGCCGGCGTGTGGGGAGACAGTCGGAGAAGGAGGGAGGCGGGCACCCGGGAGCTGGGGGGCGGAGGGGACGGGGGGGTGTGAGGGAGGGCGGCGGGATAGGCGAGGGGTGGGGGGCTCCCGGGGAGGAGGGGTCCTGCGGCCAGGCTTCTCCGATGCGGCTTTTTTTTGGGGGGGGCGGGGGGGAGTTGCTTGCAGTGGCTTAGCAGTCAGCCACTCTACGCCCCCGGGAGGAGGGGGTGTTGCGGCAGCGGGAGATAGACCGAGAGGAGCCGCAGCGCTGCCGACTGCGCACTGCCGCTCAGCCGCCGCCCGGGCTGCAGCTACGGCCCCCGGGGCTGTCGCTGTCGCTGCGGTAGTGCCCCCCACTCCTGCACTCCCCACCTCCTGCAGGCCCCGCCGGGTCTCGGCGCTCCCGGCGCGCGCTAGCTCAGCCGCGAGAGACTGGGGCGCACCGGGCGCCTGCCGGAACCCGCTGGGGGCGCCCGGGCGCGGGAGTGACTGCTCGATCGCTACAGCGGGAACCCTCTGGGCCCGGAGTCCAGTTCCTCAGCCCCACCAGGGAGGCCACAGCCCGGGGCAGACCAGAGCAGTGAAGGCGCGTCTCCACCGCCCGGCGAGCGCGGCGTCTCCTCCCTTTCTGGGAAGCCCGAGGGATGCCGCAGCGCTAGCGCTCAGGCCCGGGTGCCCCAACCCTGCGGGGGAGCCGCAAACGGGACGCCGGGACGCCTCGCCACCCTGCTTGCTCCTGGGTGCCCCAGCTTTGGGAGGGAGCGACACACCCGGGGCAGTAGGGCTTTCTCAACTTTTCACGCCCTGCTTTGCTTCCCTCTGGCTGGGGCGCGACAGCGAACTCAAGGGGCTGAGCGGTCAGCGGGGCGAGTGGCCTTAGAGATCCGTGTTTTGTGCTGATCTGTCTGCGCGTCCTGACACTTGGGATGACCGAAGTTGAAAGGACACAAAAGGTCGATTAAAAAACGTACACAGGCAAACGCCTTTAGCCCTTAAAAGAAGAACAGTCGCTCCGAGACTCCTCCCTTCCAATCTCCGGCGGGCCGGGGCGGGGAGGTGGTGTTTGACTAAGCGTTCATTCACCCTCGAAAGAGGGAGGGACCCCCGCCTCTCTGCTAATCTCCGGCTGGGGCCGCGGCGCGGCGGCCTCTGCAGCTCCGAGCTCGGTCGCCCCCTCAGCCCGGCTGCGCCCTCTCGCCTCTGCAGCACTGGGCCCCGAGGAGTCCGCTCCTACGATCCCCCTGCTGAATCGCCGCCTCCTGCCCACGCAGTGGCACCCTCTGCCCAAAAGGCGTGCAATCGCAGAGATAGTTTTTGTAGCCAAAGTACCAAGGCGCGGGGTGGGAGTGAGGGACGCTTGGCAAGTGTTGGGACCTGACGATCAGCTAGCTGTCCTTGAGCTCACGGTGGACCACCGACTTCCTCAGTCCAAAATTGAAATCGGGTCCCCGCGGAACGGACCTAAGGGTCTCCAGGCAAAGTGGGTTGTTTCCATTGTGGAAACTATAGCTTTGAAAATAAATGAGTCTGTTTGCTGACAGGTTTAATCTAGCTTCGCCGTAACCCTCCCCGCCTTGTTGACTGTTTATTTTATTCGTTTTTTTTCCGAGTGATTTGGAGGCTAAACTTAATTAGTGCAGCATTCATCGAGACACGGAGGAGCTGATCCGAGCACGTTACTCTGACGTGGGAAAAACAGGAGAAGGGAAAGCTGTCATTAGCTTAGCATGCTCCATATCCCTCTCAAAATAGATTATTCCTGTAAATTTTAAATTAAAAGAGAAGAAGGGTGATGTGTGTTTCCTTTCCCCCTCCCCACTACCCAAATAAAGCCGTGGCCAGTCAGCTTCTCGGAAACCAGTGTGTTTAATGTATTTACTAATCATTAAGATAATATACAAAAAGAAAAAAAATCTCTAAATCCAGACTTACTTCCCAGGGACTCATTACAAAATAAAATAAATAAAATTAGAATTAAAAATCAAATAAATAAAAACCTTTATTGCTGCAGATAAGTACAATCGAAACCACTAACTCCTCTATCTAAAAAGGTTGTCCCTGGATGAGGCTTTTAGATAAAGTTGTTTATCATAATTTAATTATGGGAAGCTGAATAATAAGGAAGCTGGGAGACCTTTCGTTGCCTTAGCTGTAGATTTGGATAAATGTACGCTATGAATTTGCAAGACATTTGAAGAGTGTGCCTGAATTACTTTGATATGCCTTCCTTCCCTGGCACCAGCGATACATCATCAGAATTCGCATGACAAATTTCTTTACGACAGAATCTAGCTGTGTGTGGAATTTCCATAATGTGCAGCATGGTGCATTAGAGTACGCTGGAACTCTCCCTGTAGGTGCAAATCCCAAAACCACCTTAAAAACATTTTCATCTGCCTGAAAGTTTGCGAATGGGAAAGATGCACAGAGGCCTTTGGCAAATCTGTCTCCTCTTCCTGTTTGTTATAATCCTCTGCCACCAGCGATTTCCCTTGCTGCCTTCTTGGCAAATGGGCCCTACTTCCAAAAGAGCAGCCTTCTCTCCAAGGCCTTATCAGGATGTTTTCCCCTGTATCTACTGCTGCCACCACCCCTTCAATCGACAGTCTATCAGCTGCCAACTGGTCTCTGTCTACACAAAACAGAGATGTTCTGGGGTCAAAAAGAAAAGAGAATGCCTGCACTGAAAAGCACATAGATCTGCCTTCACAGTTTAACTAAATGGTGGTACTATCCAAATCCCAAAATGACCTTGGCTGAAATCAAAATGAGGGGGAAAAAAAATGTGTTTGGGTCTGCTTATGACATCTTTCAAGGGAAAGGAGGTGGTGGGGCACAAAGACCGATATTTAACTCTGGGCCTGTCCCAGTCTGAGTTAGACAAAACTCTGTCTCATCTCTTTCTCTGGAAAATAAACCATGAAACCTAATCAGATTAGAAGGGGCCAGGTCTTCAGTAAGAGCAACTTTCTTCATCTCTTCTCAAAACTATGATGCTAAATTCTCACTGAAAAATCCAACTGAATGTACAACTTAGTCACATGGATTCAAGTCTGAAAGATACTTCCAGAGAAATCACATCCATCCAGCTTCCTAAAAATGGAAATAAATAGACCTTTCCTAAAGGAAACAGAGTAAAGAGATTGTGATACCTACCATTAGGGCAGGGTGCAAGGTATTCCATAAACTTGAGAAAGTTACACCTTAAAAAGGGCACAAGACTAGGCAGGCATTTAGACTTGATAAAGATAAAGGATTATGCTACCAAGGATCTTATAGTCTAGTAAGGCAGATAAACTGTTTATAATGAATACGATAAAAGGTAGAAGTAAATGTAAGTAGAGAAGATAATATGTCATGGAAGTTTCCAAGAGGAGATTAAGCTTCCTGGAGGAGGTGGCATTGGAAACTGAGTTTTGAATGAAGGGGGAGGCTCTAGTGAGGGAAGGGCAGTCTGCACACCGCAGGGATTAGCAGCGGAGAAACTCAGGGTTTACAAAGAGAACAGGGAACAGGAATTCTGTTGGCCCCATCTGCCCACTGAGCTGGAGCTGTTGGGAGGCTGGGAGATAAGGAGAAACGTACAGGTGATATGTCAAGGATTCCCTCCCAGGTGACCTACAGGAAATCTACCATAGAGTGTCTAATTTTTCTTTGAGACAACCAGACTGTATTTCTTTCAAATGGAAATTTATTTCTGCAGGTGTATTCAGCAATCTGAACATGTGGTCAGTATAACACTAGAGAGCACCATTTCCACCTTCGTGTGTTTGAAGGTGTTGGCGTGGATTCTACAAATGCATCATTATTTCTTAACCTCTTTAGCAATGGCTATATGATTGCACTTGGGTTGAAAGCTGAAATGCTACTTGTAACTATTTATTTAGAGCACTGGAGATCTTAGAAATCAAATAAACCAATTCCCTGCTCTTTCACTTTAAAAGTGAGAAATCTGAAGGCTAAGGGGTGAATGACTTGCCCAGGGTCACACAACTAGTTAATGGCATAGTCCATTTAAACAGGGTTCGTCTGGCTCACTGATCATGATGTTTTCCACTATAAATGTTTTGCCTTCTTGGATTATGAGTCATAAGAATTGTAGGAAAGGACCACTGAATATTTTAGATATGATGTAAATTAAAATTATGGAGTTGGTGAAATAAGTACTCAAATATTTATTGAACTAAACTGATACCAAGAATACAAGTTGTAACGCCATAAAAAGCAGACCACAACTTAGCTCACTGGTTAAACTGAATTTATTCTGAGGTCACTCAGCTAAAATGTTGAAGAACTGCACTCTCTTCTAGGCTTTGCTACAGGTTAGCTTAGTTTCAGAGAGGGGTAGGCACCGTTGAGACTGATGAGAAGGATTCTAGATTCTGCCTAGGATTTTAATGCCATTGCAAAAAATGAGAGACTCCGAAATGACATTTTTTGGAGGGGATAGGAGGCAATGGAGACAGTGATAAAAGCATTATACCCATGATATTGTATAATTTATATAAATCATCATCATTAAAATTAAATTATTAATCATTAGCCTGATCTTTTCTTACTTAATCATGTTTCTTCATTCTTTGTAGCCTTAAGATTATTTTCATATAATTGTACTCATTACAGAGTTTATCTAGTTCTAAAGCAGGGCATTTTAATGAGGATGATAGGAAACTGACATTTTTAAACACAGTTGCATCAAAATAACAAAATCACTAGGTTTTCAACGAAATTAATATCATAATAAATAAAGCCCCCTTCAAAAGCCCCCTTCACTCTTTCCCTGGCCATGACCATCCCAATCCCTGCTTAAAGGACAGCAGTATGCTGCGCATAATGGAGTAACGTTTGCTGTTTCACACAGTACTCACTCATTTAAATGTCCCTGAGCCAAACTAACTGGTTTTGAGTGTCACAATTCTCTAGTTATACAATTAAAATGAAACGAAGTTGCATAGTTAAAACAAAGATTTTGACAATATCCATCACGACATCCAAAATATTTCTGTGTGCTGATTCATCCTCAGGGACATGCTGAA